GAAAAATGTGTTACCTCCCGTCCAGCTGATATCTTCATCAATCGGCATCAATAAATTGCCTGGCTTATTACTTTGATTAATATAAATGAAAAATATAGAAAAAGAATTACGTTAACTTATTTCATAAAAAACGGATATTTCATAGGTAAAGATCTAATATTACCGATATTTTTAAAGGCGTACGTTGTATATATCAAAACGTGACTGGTGATAGATCAACGTTTGATGAAACCATGTGAGGATTTGTGCATAACAATATATAAACATTGTTATCCAAAAAAGGTGATAATTTTCAACATCGAGTCTATATTCTCCTTTGAACATTGGAACAATTCATGCTGATTAACAGACAGTTGTCTCCTCTACCTCTACCTACTACCTCTACTTTTATATAAATGTATGTAAATGTTGTAAGGGTTGATTTATCGTATTTATTTTACGTATCATAAGCCAGTGCTGGATCATAATCCGTGGTAAGTGGTGATGCAGCCCTAGATGGTAAATCGCACTGTCTTAGCGTAACAAAAGCCTAATCACTCTTGCTTTGAAGACGCCCAGATTGTGTTCGGACGGAAAGATAGATTGAACCTTGCCCATTTGTAATTTTCACACCTTACATGTATTGCAGTTATTAAAAAAATCTGTCAGGTATTTGTTCATGTCAGGTTAGGATACCGGTAGTGATAAAATACCTTTGAACCGAATTCAAAAAGAAAAGGATCTATATTCGATACGCATGTTATTTTTATGTATGTTTACCGTTTTCTGGAAAACAGCAGAACCAATTTAAATTAATTATTTTTTATTAAGGATTTATATTAAAAACATGCTTATGGGGTGGTCCGGAATGAATATACAGGAAAGCTCTCCCCAATGGGAAAAAAAAGGTGAACCATGAACTTGTATTCTTTTAATAAAAATAACAACCGACTAAAAAAATTAGAAACTAATAATAAATTACTTAGTAATTTATCTAATATCGTTCTAAGTAATACGATTTAATAAGAGTTTTGAAATAGTAAAGATATTTAGCACAAAGAATGTGGAGAGCTAAAGAGTTCCACAAACGCACAGCTGTTACAGTAAACGATTTCTTAAAAAAGGAGGAAGAGTAAATAGGAGTAGAGAGAGAAAGATTGACAGAGGATCGAAGGAATCAATTATGAGTAAGGGAGAGATATTTTAAACGGTCTTTTAAATAATGAGGAGTGGCAGGACTAAACAGCACGGCATAAGATGCGGAGAGAATGTAAGTATTCCTGCGAAGTCTGATCGGGAGCCATTTGAGCTGTTTGCGAAATACAGAGATATGATCATATTTGCGAAGTCCAAATATAAAACTAATACATAAATTTATTAACTATAAATTGTCGCAGTTGAGTAACTGTATAAAGTAATTCAAAGACATTCAAAAGTTATTTAATATTAGAAGGAATCAATTAATTTGCCTCACAAGGATTTAGCTCTCCAGATTTCTGCTTCTATTGAGTGGTATAATGAATTCAAATTAAACTTGGTATCGCTTCCAGCTATTTTAAATCAAAATATAGGTAATACCTATCCATAATAAAATGATTCAAAATATCTAGAATGGTGCCCACAAATAATTAACTGTATAATTTGACAAAATGTGAATTACAAAAATTGTACGAATCAAAATATAACAAAGCAAAAATTATTAACTGGACTCTTTTGTAATACACATTCATTGTACTATTGAACAATGGTTACAATAATGTAACTATATTATATATAATTTTGTAAACAACAGGTGGTAAAGGATATACCATTATTTATTTATTTAATCGGAAATCCCCTAGTTAACGAAAACAGCGTAGGTAGAAAACAATTAAGCAATAGGAAACCGTTTTTATGGGTTTTCGCAAATAGTGGCACTATATAAATAATTGCATGCAGTAAGTTACCGACAGCTAATAGGACACTGTCGCACCAACAATATGCTTAGCTAGGTAACATCGTGCATTAAATAACTAAACATTACAGATTAACAAAATAAAAAAAAATTAAAAAAGAAATAAAAAGATCAGCTGGAGTCGAAAAAAGGCTTACTCAGAACTCACCTCGCCACAACGGTGCTTGTGTTGAATAGGTCTAAGTTAAACAATTGGGATACAGTATTAAAATTCTTGCTCGCACGGTACATATAAATATTCTGCCTATAATTAGTTTTTGCTGCGGGTAGTGATAGTAGGACGTTTTGTCTAACATTTTTGGAGTTTTGATATTTAACTTCTTAAGTAGATCTGGACAGTCGATCTCGCTTTAAGCTATCTTAAGTAGAAAGGTAATATCTGCTATTTGCCTTCGCATCTCGAGTGGTAAGAGATGGAACTTTCTACACTTATCATAGTAAAGATTAGAGTTGTAGTGGTCATTTACTCGGTAGCAAATTGTTTAATGAATTTCATCTGGATACATTCAATTCGAGATATATATTCCAAAATACTTCTTACGTAACAACAATACAAAATTTTCAAGGTTTTAATTTTTTTAAAGTTTTGTTTAAAGTTTTTAAAACAACGCATCACAAACCCTAAGACCCTGGAAGACCGGCCAATGATATTTTCGATATGTTTATTGAACAGAAGTTTCGAGTCATGTATAACTCCCAAGTCGCGTATGGAGCACTCTCTGGACAACGATTGGCCTCGAATCTGGTAATCGTACAGCAATTTATTGGATTTACGGCTAAATGTGACAACTGAGCATTTTGTAGGGTTGAGTTCGAGATGGTTGTAGGTACCATAATCAAGTAAGTTTTCAAGTCATTTTTTAGTGCTTCTGCGTCTTTTAATGAAGAAATATTTGAAAAATTTTTCATGTCATCTGCGAAACATAATAGACGAGAGTTACACACAGTTGTTGATATCATTGACAAAGATAGCTTCAATAGAAAAAAAAATTACTCTGTGGCTCCTTAACATTAGGTAATAAATCGTTATTATGTGAAGGACATAAGGATATTGTAAGCCTCTTTCCAGCGAACTTCAGAAAAAATGGCGTGAGTTGAGCTTTGAAGGGCCACATTCTTGTCAATGTTAACTGACTCCCAAATTCTATGAATAATTAATTACTTTTAAGTGTCGAGTGTAATATAATAACATATTAACTCACGAAATTTAAAGAAAAAAAAATGGCTTATTAAAACATTCGTACAATAGTATTAAGCTTAGTTCATTCTTAAAATCATGCCGTTTTGTTAATTAAATGTATTTACAATATTTGAACCTGTCACGAGTTTGATTTAGTACCTTGTGGCACGAGGAGGGAAGTGGAGGATGGGGGAGGAAGAGGAACCCCACCTCGCGAAAAAATCTAGATTAAAATTTTATATTAAAAATCAATTTCCAGAGTATTTCAGTCTCCTTTAAAAACAAAATAAGTTGCCTTGAGGAACGGACAGGAGGGGAATGGTGGAGAGGTAGCACTCTCTCCAATTCTCCCCGAACCTACTGATAGGATATTAAGAAATGCTTTGTCTTCTTCTAGCACTTCATTGGCCGCTTCCGTGGCATGCATAGTCTATTCACTCGACTCGCGCTTTGTGGTCTCCAGTAATATAAAGCTCTTCTCATTTTAGGTTTGCTCATTGTTGCACCTAAGTTTTACAGTTACAAAAGGCAGCTACACATGACACTTTAAAGTTACAAATGGCTACAAGAGTTACTTACTAATTTACTAGTTTACTTAGTGTAGGTATAGGAATGCCAGTCGTATTAAATAAAATTTATTCATCCATTCATTCATTACAGTCTATCAAAAGTCCACTGTTGAATGTAGGCCTCACCAACAGATTGCCTCGTAGTTGAGATTAGAAATTGCACTGGTTCATGGAGCAATTCGCTGAAACGACCCGGTATTTCAAAGCGATCTAAAAACCAATTACTTTACGCCGAATAATCGATTAATCGATAAGATTAACATGCCTAAAACTTTTAAAAATAATTTCTTGTAAACTACATAATATGTTTGCCTAAAAAGGACGTGAAGGGAACACAGAACACAGAAATTGTATAGTTGGATACTGAAACCAACACCAACATAACTAATAATCTTTTAGAAATTTCTACCATAAACTCTTATGATTACTAGGAATTACTATGGTCGGGTGATGAAATAAAAACTAGGTAGAAGGAATAACCCTTAATCATTGTTTTCGCTGGTACTTACTGGTTTTTTTTTAAATTACTTTAACCATCTATCATTTGTAGTTGCAGCATTTCAAATTCTCGGAATATATTTAACGGTTACTTATTTTTTATAGTATTTTCTCCAGTATTTTGAGAATCAAAAATACTCTGGAAGGAGACGAAGTTGGTTCCATACAAACTTGAGCCCGGAGTGAACAAAGTTCAAATATAACTTATTTTGAAGATTTAAACATTAGCTACTTATATCAAAAATTCGTATTTTTGCAGGACCTGGGGTTTTGTTTTTATTTGGTTTATGACAAGTTGTTTGAATAAATTATAAAAAGACACAAAATAATGCAGTTTGAAGATATTATTAAATAAAGTAAAATAAGAGTAAACCTTATTAAATTGTTTAATTATTATTTTCCGCAATTATTATTAAAATTTCATCTAGAAAAGCTGCCGGAGGCTGTAAATTATCTGTTCTATTCCTCTCATAACACAAGTACCACATTATTATGATTATGTGGGCGCAACAAACTACCGCCTGTATACCGAGATAAAAGCTAAGGGTCAATTTAAATAAATCCATGAACGTAAAAACACGACATCTATCCACAAACAGAGCCACAATGCCATACAGTGTTGCCCGTAATCCTCCCTAAATTCAAGTTATGAAGAAAGAAACTCACACAAAATGCAGAATATTTATTTACTAATGAAATACAATTTAAAACTATTTCATCAATAGGTTTCAATAGACATTACAACAACCAGTTCCGTACATTTTTCCTGATTTAAATCTTTTGGGAATATATATTTTATTCTCAAGATGGATTTGGCAATATGGATGGATTTGTTTCGAAGTTTGTATTTAATAATAGCTACTTGGGAGAAGGCTCTTTCCACAACTGCATTAGAAAATGGTAACGTCATAATTACTGATGCCAATTTGCTAACATGTCCGTAAGTTCTATTATTGACTGCATTTTTGAAATTAACTTCCACCCGGAACCCTCAAGGTGTTGCGTGTGCGAAATAATTATAAGTAATTACTAACCTGAACCAGTTTCGAAGCCTCTCGGCTATCGTCATGCGCAGCATTGTGCTTTCGTTCGTGTGCTTTCGCAGATATTTTTAATCATCACGGCTTTTACTATACAGCCTATTCAAACGTATCATATAATATTCTAATGTTTTTTTCTTTTAGTTTAATTACATAGCCTATTCAATCGTTTTTCTAAATAGATAATTTCTTTTATTCAATAATCTGTACGGATTTGCCTCAATGTTTCATTATTATGATTTTTTTCATAAATTTTTAAATAGGTCAATAGATCAAGTATCGTCAACACACGTTGACAACAAAAAATATCCTTCATTATCTTTTGCCATAGACAAATATAGAACATATTTAAAAGCCTTTCATTCTGCTACAGTAAATTCTAATCTAACTTACGTTTTTCAGTTTAAAATAATGTTTTATTGTAGTATTGTTAATAATGTTTTTTTTTTAATTTGATATTGTATTATAATTTAATATTACAGAAATAAAGACGATTTATCCAATTTATCGTTTTATTACCTACATAATATTCTGTAAAACTGTTACGTACGTACGTAGGTACGTACGTTGTGTATGTCAGGCACCCAATTTTACAAGTATACATCTCCTTTAGACTCTTCCTGCATCGTTTCTTTTTAAATCCTACATCTGATAACAAATTGTCGATTTCTGTGATACAACACCATATTGTTCATGATCCACTATCCGTTGTTCATGCTTTCCAGGTGTACTACCGACCGCAGTACCAGTGATCTGGCACATTTGACGCTACTGTCTGTCGCCGGTTACACTGTCATGTATCTGAAATCATAAGGGTTCTTTGGTATTTTGCATCGTTGTCATTCACGTCACCTATGGTACCAATTTAGGTAATAAATTCTCTTACGCCCCTAACCAAATTAATCATATTAAGCTTATTATTACTACTACTTCTTGGTACTTCACGCCGGGCCAGCTTCTTACCTTATATAAAGAGCAAGTCCGGTCGTGCACGGAGTACTGCTGTCACTTATGGGCTGGTGCTGCAAAATGGCTACTAGCAGCGTTGGACTCAGTGAAGTGACGTGCTAAGAGGCTCATTGGAAACCTTGATTTGGTTGAAACCAATTTTGTCAGCCTCGAACACAGCCTCTCAGTATTCTAAAGGATGCATTTCGGTGAGTATAATTCTTCCCTCTCCTTTCCATGATCGGACATCCAGGCAGTCCGCGGGTCTTCACGCCTTTGTTGTCGATATTCCACGAATTAGAACCAAACACATTGCTTCTTCTTTTATAATGCGTACAAGATGGGGAGGAAAAATTTTCCAGCGTCTATCTATTCGTCCAAATGCAATCTAGGCGCCTTCAAGGCAAGAGTGGAATAGGCTTTTGTTAGGCTAAGACAGTGTTATTTACCACCTAGTGCTGCATCACCACTTACCACCAGGTGGGATTGTGGTCAAATACTTTTTTCATAATATGTAAAAAAATATATACCAGTAATAACGTAAATTTTTGTTTGTTTTTTAGGGGAGCGGGCGGAGGAGGGATGTTTGGCGATGTTAATATTTCTGCTATTTTGGATTCGCTGAGTGTAAGCTACGATAAGAGAGTAAGACCGAACTACGGAGGTTAGTATTTCTTTATCTTTTGCTGAATGCTGTTATTTTATTATTTATTAGGCCAAATTTTGACCGTAAAACATAAGTGATGAATATTTTAACTGTAGTACTAGAACGGTGGCCTTGTAGAAACATTTGTTTATGAAAATAACAAATATTTATAATAATTTTGATTTAACGACACATTTGGAAGATAAGCGAATGACGAAATGTCTCCAAATAAAAATCTTTATAATAAAACTTGAGATTGGTTTATCACCATAAATTAAAAAACTGTAATTTACAAAGAATATTATTTTATAGCTAACTAGCTGGTACCCGTCGCTTTGCTACCGCAAAAGAGATTATATTGTTTAGAGCTATATTGCGTCGCAGAGTCTGGGAAACTTTCTAAGTGTGGGAAATACTGTGCTGATACCACGTATTCCCTTTGTACCAAACAACCTACCATTTATTTTGAAAGATGACAATTCAATTTAAAGAGTCATGCAATAACAAAAATCCCGGACTTAAACCTAGAAAGATTCATTTTGTTATGGAATGTTTTTCCATGGTAAGCTTAACGTTGCTTGCTAAAGTGTTACTAAGACCCAAAACCTGGGCGTTTTCGCTGAGCGATACAAATCATTTAATGTAGCCTATTAAGTGTATTGCAGTAGAGCGTTTTTAAGTTTTATTTAAGTAATAAGCAATTTAAACAGTTTGTTTGCTTCAAATTATTCTCGAGCGGAGACGCGGGTAAAAGTTACTTAGTTTACAACGTTTATTGGCTGACATGAATCTTTTTTTATTTCGGATATTAAAGAGCAACACAGGAGGGGAGAAGTCATAGCGTTATTATCCGATATCAACATGTCTGTCATTATTTGGGGGGCGAAATCTGCGTTAAGCTCACTTTCTCAGACTTCCACAATATTAATATTCGTTTGTCACTACAAAACACAGACATAAAAATTAAAAAAAAATATATAATTTCACATACACATAGATACATTCTGTGTAATGAAATGACGCAACTACGTTGACAAATTGCATACAACCGTATAACAACTGTCGATATGCATTATCGATGAAAAGGTAATTATAATAAAGATAGGACTATATTTATTACTACTTTAATTACATATCATTTAAGAATTAATCTTAATGTATAAATAATTTTAAAAACCAGTGTTACCCAATAGTTATATCTAACATACATACATAAGCACTCACGCCTGTCACCAAGAGGGATAGGCAGAGACTACAGACTTACATTTAACACGATCCTGACACACCTCTCTCGCCTCCTCCACATTCATAAACCTACGCATACATGCTCGTCGGTGAGTTAGATTACTTAGTTCGGCCCTTTTTTAATACAGTAGAACCTCGATAAGATAACGACCAAGGGAAACGTTAAATAATTTGAGTTATTGAGGTTTTTACTTACTAAGGGTTTAAGCTTGGGTTTAAGTTAAGGAGTTTTTATTGGGTTATATTTGTACTTACAGAGGTTGGTTTATGAGCTTTGTTTAAAAATTATATACTCACATAGACGAGCTAGGTTAAATGCAAACGAAACAATAGTAGCAATAGTACGCAATAGTTTGTCACTGAGGGTATAGTTGAATTTAACCACTTTTTTATTTTTAGTAAAAGATAATGTAAGAAACTTTGTATAAAGTTTATTTTTTAAACAGTACAAACTTAAATTATTAAGATCTTCTTGAAATAGTAAACAATCATTTACACTTTTTATAGTTTTATACTTTCGAATCATTATTCATATTCATATTCATATTCAAAATAAAAAGTTTGAGTGTTTAAAACATTCGTTTATGGCATTTATAAAGAGGTTGAAGAGCAAGACTTGCCCCTAAAAATCATACATGAAGGAATACCTGTCGTACCTCTATTATGAGATAAAAAAGTGCAAAAATATTTTAAATTTTGAGGAATAGTATCCTCAAGTGATTCCATATATTCAACATGTAATTTTTAGCACTGGTCACGAAAAGATATGTTCTTTTATTTTTTCCATTTAGCCTATGCCTTCTTTTTACCTTTAAAGATATGAATTACAGAAGGTGAAAACCATTTAGGATATTTTGGTGGTCTTGATACGGAGAGTGGTATAAGCTCTTTAACAATCCCATATATAATTTTGTAAAAAGTACTTGTAGCTTGTTCTAACGAGAGTGGGCAAAGTAACTGTTCCCAATTAATATTTTTTTAAACTAGAATTAATTAATTCATAATTTGCCTTATGATGGTTATATTTGCGATATTGGCAACGTTTCATAGAGGAAATCTTACTTTCAAGGGGAATAAAAGCGCAAAATGGTGCATGATAATCATCTACCCGTTGTACTACAAGTATCTTGGATTAGTAACAGAAACAGAAACAGAAACAATTTTATTCAATATAGATTATAAACAATACTTATTAAAAGTCACTTTTTTCATTTACCACTGGTTTGCAAAAAAAAACCTCTGTCCTGAGAAGCACCAGCAAGAAACACAGCAGGATTTTTTTTTCAAATAATAGCTTATGTATGTTACAATTAACAACACAAAACAGTAATAGCTTGGTAACGTGTAGTAGCACAGAACACTGCTTATTCAAGATAAACAAGTCTAAAATTTTGTGTTTAGAGTTTCGAAAAGTATTGAATTGTAAATCATTTAAAAAAAGATAGAAAACAACTCATTTGTAAGCAAGTAGATGATGTACGAGTACAAACTAATCCCTGCCCAGTGTCATTAGGGATCCAATCAACTTCAGGTAAGTTGTAATCACCCAGTACATAGAAATTATCAAATTGAGAATCTGCATATATATTTTGAATCGTATTCAGATGCAATTCATATATTACTTTATCAAGATTAGGTGGTAAATAAGCAGCACCAATAATATGTTTCATTTTACTATCAGAGTTGTAGAAAGGAAATGCAACATTCACTATCGAGTTATTATACACAAACTGGATGAGTACTTTAGCTAACTATCAGTACACCATCACCATAATATTATTACTTAAGATGCACTAGACACTATGCGTAAATAAATTCATTATTACATTTAGAGGTAAGCTAGGTTTCTGTTAATACTATAATATCGTAACAGTTACTAAGAATATTCATGTATAAATCTGTATAATTTTGTACGTAAACCTCTGCGGTTTTGATTATAAATACAAATATTGTCATACATCGTATATTACCTTTTTATGTATACTGAATGGTTATTTAAGCACTACACTTTGATCTTAAAAGAAGGTAGTTAAGCACTTAATTTTTATTTAAATTTATTTTAGATGTTTTATAAAATTATTTTATAATTTATTTTGCCTTTATCTATCCTATAGTATCACTAAAAATGTTAGTAAAGTAAACATTTTCACATAAATGAATCAGAGATGTAAAATACAATCAAAAACGACACTTTATACCGAATAAATAATCATCATCATCATCATCATATTACAGCCCTTCACAAGTCCACTGCTGAACATAAGCCCTCCCCCAAGTAATGCCACAAAGCACGGCCCTGAGCCACCTGCATCCATCGACTTCCTGCATGTCTTACCAGGTCGTCACTCCATCTAGTGGGGGGTCGCCCTACACTACGCCTACCGGTACGAGGCTGCCACTCGAGAACCTTTCTTCCCCATCGGTTATCGGTTCTTCGAGCTATATGGCCGGCCCATTGCCACTTCAGCTTACTAATCCGTTGGGCTATATCGGTCACTCTGGTTTTACTGCGGATATCCTCATTTCTGAGTCTATCACGCAGTGAAACTCCGAGCATAGCCCTCTCCATAGCTCGCTGAGCGACCTTGAGCGTCCTCATACGGCCAGCGGTGAAGGACCACGTCTCAGATCCGTAAGTCATCACTGGCAACACGTACTGGTTATACACTTTAGTTTTCAGAGATTGAGGTATACCTGACGAGAAGATGTGTCGTAATTTCCCGAACGCTGCCCAGCCGAGTTGAATCCGCCGATTGACCTCTCGGTCGAAGTTGGACTTACCTAGTCGGACTATTTGTCCCAGGTAAACGTACTCGTCAACAACTTCGGTGTGCCTACCGGCATAGGTGTGACATGGACATTAAACATGATCTTTGTTTTGGCCATGTTCATCTTAAGAGACGGATTTTTCTTATCCGTTGGGAGACACCATTGAGGTCATTGAGCATAGTGCTAAGGTCCTCCAGCGATTCTGCCATAAGGACTATATCGTCGGAAAATCGAAGGTGAGTGATGATCCTTACCAGTCCAGTAGCTTGAAAACGTCTTCCAACGCAGCGGTGAAGAGTTTCGGGGATATAACATCACCCTGTCTTACACCTCTCAGCAGTTGGATAGGTTTCGTACTCGGTTCGCGGATAGCCATCGTAGCCCTTAGTTAGTACAAACACTTCAGCACTTCAATATACCGACAGTGTACTAGGCACCGCTGAAGAGACTGTAGCACCGCCCAAATTTCGATGGAATCAAAGGCTTTCTCATAGTCCACATACCCCAGGCAAAGTGGCAGATTGTACTCTTCGGACTTCTGTACAATTTGCCGAAGGGTATGTATGTGGTCTATGGTACTGAAGCCTTTTCGGAAACCGGCTTGTTCGGAAGGCTGGAAGTCGTCGAGTCTGCGTGCGAGACAATTCGTAATGACTCTCGAAAATAGCACGTAGACGCGGCTCAGAAGGGAAATCGGTCTGTAGTTCTTTAAGAGGGCGTTGTCCCCTTTCTTAAAGAACAAGACCACCGCGCTTCTGCTCCACGCCTCCGGAGTAGTGCCACCATGGAGGACGGAATTGAAGAGCTTCTGAAGGACTTCAAGTACCGGTGTTCCACCCGCTTTCAGAAGCTCCGCTGTAATTCCATCCTCGCCCGGGGCCTTGCCGTTTTTAAGGTGGTGGAGAGCCATTCTAATCTCGCTCAGACTGACGTCCGAGATATCATCGGAATAGTATCGGATAAGACTTGCTCTTGGATCGTTACTTACACTTGCGTGTGGCTCCAACGATGATGTGTACAGCTGCCCATAGAACCTCTCAATCTCACTCAGAATCTCAGTTGTCCCGGAAACGATGTTGCCACACTCAGTCTTCAGCCTTGACAGTTGGCTTTTTCTGGCAGACAGATCTCTGGCAAAGACTTTGTAGTCCTGGTTCCGCTCGATCGCTTCTTTAATACGAGCAGTATTAAAGTTGCGTAAGTCTCGCCGCATGCATTTGGAGATCTGTCTGTTCAGTTGCCTGTATGCTGTCAAATCTGTTGACGATTGCAGCCTCATCTCCCGTCTAACAGCCATGATATTAAGAGTGTCATCGGAGAGTTTTTGTGTTCTTCTGCGGCGGGTCTTGCAGAACTTAGCTCCGACCGCATGGACAGTTTCCACGAGCTTGTCATTCATATCGTCCACTGCATTGCAATCCTCTACGCACTGAAAGCGGTTTTGTAACTCGAGCTGGAAGGTTTCGGGATTAGAGCACGAGGGGGACGGAGCGTTGACTTCATTAGACGAGACCTCTCCAACTTAACATTTAGGTTCAGTGTGCCTCTAACCATTCGGTGATCGCTGCTAGTTTTCACCCCTCCGATCACTGAGACATCACTGAACAGTTGGCGTCTGGTCGTCATAATGAAGTCAATCTCATTTTTTGTCGAACCATCGGGGCTCGACCAGGTCCACTTCCTGTGGGGCCTCTTCTGGAAGAAAGAGTTCATCATAAAGAGTCCCTCTTTCTCCATAAAGTCGGCCAGCTGCTGGCCCCTTCGGTTCCGTTACCCTACTCCAAATTTCTCCAGCTTCAGCTCACCGCTTTCTCATGTGCCTAGTTTTGCGTTGAAGTCTTCCATCAACACCGTGTAGTGGGTTTTGGAGGAAAGCATGGCTCTGGAAATACATTTCTCATACATTTCCTCCACCTCCTCATCGGGATGTGCCGAGGTTGGTGCGTAAACCTGTATGACCTTCAGCGAATACCGTTTGGTGATTCTGAGTATCAGGTACGCGACACTCGTCGACACACTCCCAATCTTTACAACGAATAAATAAAGTAATTTACAATTTATTAATCAGTGTATTATCAATTCTACGGTATAGCTAAAAATGTGATTAAGGTTATTTTTGTTACATTAAAAAAAAAACAGAAATATAAGAGAAAAGCAAAAAACCCTAAAAATAATAACGAAAAAAGAACCTACAGAACGATATGAATAATGGGAACACTTAAATGGTATTATCTTGAGGCACTCGAACTGGTATGGGATTGGATTTTGTATAGGCACAGAATAAATAAAAGATGGTGTAGGTCATTCGAACTACGTATAGCAAACACCTGCTGAGTTATATGATTTTCGAACGAGTATAGTGGCGTGTTTAATTTAAAGTGTAAGTTCTTTTGTTTAGCCAAATCTCTGACCTCGCGAAACAGCTTTTTGTTTTTTAATGTAAGGCGCTCATTCATATAAATAGTGTAAGTACGTCCCTGTATTACCAATTGATTCGAAGTTGAATCTTTATATAGAGGGGATGCATTCAAGATATTATTGCGTAGCGTGCGGGACGTATGTTTGACGATAATACTCCTATCTATATAATATTTTCTTTATGGGTGGGTACACGGTAAACATATACAATTTCTTTTTGCACTATAGTACAATTAACTAACTATTTTGGCAATGGTCTCCAATAAGGCAAAAAGGTTCTCATCTTTCTCTTCAGAAACATTAGAAATCTCTAAAATACACTGTCTTGCTTGTTATTCTATATTGTCAAATTTTTCCTCTAGCAACAATATGGCACCGCCTTTATTTGTAGCATGGGATACAGTGATAATTTTATCGAAACGCTTCTTGAGAAACGCGTCTGAAAACTGTAAGGACTTTTTTTGCAATTGTTCAACTTCACGAGTCAAATCCTAAATATTAGTTTTCAACAAATCCGAAATATTCGAATTCCCCAAACGTTACAGATTTATTTATTTTCTCATTTCCGTCGTAAAAGAATCGAGATCTGTTCTTACATTATAAATATTTCTGTTATTTTTTCCAACTTTGAATCCAGGTTGCAGCTAAACTCTGAAAGAGCGCTTTTAAATCCGATCTAATAGCAATAATACTTTGCATGAGTTCGCAATCAGGCTGCTTTCGCTTTCTTTGTGTTATCCAATAACTCTTTTGCTCTTATTCACACATTAAATTTGGGCTCGAAGAGTATGTTGTAGGTGGAAATCGCAACATAATTAATATTTAGTACATTAAATAAAGAAAACAAAATGAAAAAATAAGCGTGCCCCAGTTATTCACTTAATAATAAGCAATAGTAATCTACAATTATTCAGTAATTAACATTATATGTCGATAAGTAAGAGCATTAGCCAAAAGATCGTAAGCGCCGTGTAAATCGTATCACTTACGCGTTTACTTAAAAACTGTTACTACGGGATATTATTAGGTCGGTACTTTGATATTTTTCTATAGATATAGCAATTACTTATATTGCTCAAATTAAAAAAAAATTAAGTTTAACGTGTTCCACATTTAAAACAAATATAAAGTTTTACTTAGATTGCACTATTCAATTAGATATTCACTTTATTATACGGCTACTATGCACCACAATTTTTTTGTACTCGAAGCAACAACACGTCTATTAGCGCGTACGATCGCGTGTGATGTTGAAGCTACTTAGTACTTAGTAGTAGTTGTCACTGTCACCGAGCGATACTGTTATTATGTATCTACGTGTGTGTGAAAATACACTTACTTTTTTATACTTATTGTTTTAATTGTTATATGTGAGTATCGTAGCGACAGACGATTGTTATTGTCTAAGCAGATTTCCCTCCGCAAAAAAAGATAGAACTGCTCGGAGATTCTGACTGTATCGGGATAAAACTACATAGTTACTCGCCTCCGGTGCGTTGGTTGCTCATATTGCTCTATGGGTTAGCCTAACAGAAAACATTAAAATTACATTTACTAAAGTTAATTTAATTCATTTTTATTATTAGCATTAATGATTGTATACAGTCAATTTGGAGAATCCTGCTTATTTGATAGGTTTACAAATCTTCAAATAAATAATGATTCGTATGTCATAAATGTGTATGCCTAATTAATTTTATTAGAGAAGCCAGCGGTGTGCTGGCATCTCTTTGTGATCCCAGCGTTAACAAAATAAACAAATAAATGCAATACTACATTAAATATTTAATATAATATTGCAAGCCAATTCTGCGTAAAAATTTAGTTAATAGTTGAATGCAGCGAGGGTTAACCTTAGTAATATGAGCATGTTGAATATTGCTTCTTCTTCTTCTTCTTACGGTTGTAAGTGGATGTTTTGGCCCATATACGTCTACATCTATTTGCGATTGAGAATCGAAATGCATATAGGTTATCGCTCTTCAGGTCTAAGATAGAATGCCTCGTTTCCAGACAAAAAGGTCTCCGGTACTCTACACTCATCATACGAAACATTATACGCTGACAGTCTGAGAGAGCGTGGGCCTTCCCCGGTTGAGCCAAACCATTCGTGGTATAGCTATATAGCTGCTGCATGGCTCTACCATATAATACCACCACTCTCGATCATTGATGTTGCAAAGGATTCGACACATGGGGATTTCAGAACAAATTACAATTTAACGGGAAATGAGTTTCACTATTATTTAAATTAAATTTACAATATACTCTGACTTGCAAATTGTTGAAACTAAATTAACTTCAGTTTCTTTTGTGATTTAGATTAACACATGCATTGACACATGTACATGTGTTGTACAATTTGTTTAAAATTATTCACAACAACCTGGCCAGTATCAAACAATATCCAACATATACATAATCAAAAATATTAATATAAAATGTTGAAATTTTAGTATTTTGATACCAGTACTATTTTAAAAGTCATCGGTGTAAAAACAAGAGGTCATAAGTGATGGAAGCATATAAAAAAAACAGAGATGATTTCAGGTTATGTAACCGATGTAACGTTTCAGGACCACCCGTGGACGTGGGAGTCACCATGTACGTGCTATCCATCAGCTCCTTATCTGAAGTCAAAATGGTATTTAATGACTACTTTTACGTAGATGGTCAATTAATGCGAGATAGGAAGAACAGACTTTAGGTTAGCCACCCTCGGTCGAGCGATGAGACTTTATAATTATGATATACGTTTTTAATTCCTCGTCCGATCGAGGGAACCTGGGCATTACCTTAAGGTCCTCTGGTTTGGTTTTCACGGCGAGACGCGCGCGCGACTCACGATTGGGCTTGATTGCAGGTCCGCCAGTGGAGGTGGGCGTCACCATGTTTGTGCTCTCTATCAGCTCCGTCTCCGAAGTGCTCATGGTACTCGCCACTGTCAGCTCACGCTTGTCTCGGTCGCTGCGGTCTCAGCCGCTGCGACCGAGCAGCCCCAGATACGAGGCTGCGAGCATGCCGGCGTTATGGAGCAGACGATCCGGTCGGAGCACCACTAGCTTTCACTCTCTTTGCGAAATTTCTTTTAAAATAAAAATTGAAAGTAAGGATCTATTGGTTACAGTGGTGCACTTATCCGGGTGTGTCTATAAATAAAGGAATAACTAATAAAATGTTTTTTCCAAAAGCATCTTTCCAAACAAGATACTGTCATAATTTTGCTCCATTGTTGTTCTCTTGTTTCAAGCTTTTTATGTTTTGGATTAGGTATTTGTTGTGACTGTGAAATATTATCCCTTGGATTGGCGTATAACACTTCAAATTCGCCACCCGCCTTATATTTACTCATATTTGGTAGTATTGCTATGAATGTATTTAAATGTTTGTAACGTTGTCCAGAGAGTTCCGTTTTGACGAGGACTCTTAAATAATTTTGTTACATTATTTTTTATTTATTTGTTTCATATTTTCATTTTAATTGAAACATACAGAGAAATAATTTTATTTTCAAAATCGTATGTTATAAAATATCATTTTATTTACAAAAGCTACAATTTCCGTCGCGACAAATATGCTTAGATCGGAACGTGATGTGTTTTAATATTAAACGACGTGATTATACCCTTGATAACGGTTCCAAAGCATAATAATTTTGAACTTAAGACCAGGGTGTATGACCCCTAGTGGAAACCAAATCAAGGGGACAATTAAAGTCACATCAAGACGTGACCGTCATCCAGAATTTAGAAAATATATCTTAACTATAATATGCTTTAAGGTACACGTGTAAGCATAGTACTGACAAATATATTATCTAAGATTAATAGAGATACAGCATTTTTCGTGTTCAACTTGTGTCAATTTAAATAGAACATGTTTTATTATCCTTTTATTCAAAGCACTAACAACTCTTACTACGTGTGCTTTAGACATGAATATTATAAAATATTTAAATGATATCTCATAATTAATAATACGAAAGAATAATTTTAATATGTTACGATATTCTAAAAATGTACAGAGATAAATAAGATTTCGGATATTCTGTATTTAAGGTGGACTTATGAAATTATGTTATGAATATTGGACAGCGTTATGAAAATTATATTGTTATTTATAATGCCAAATTATTCTTTCAACGCAGTTTTCAAATATGTTGTAAACGTTTTGAATCTATTAATAACAGTGAGTTGTAACTCAAATACATCTGTGTTCCTTTTTTAACACCGTCCCATTTTCAGGACTTTACCTTGGATTTCTACTTCCGACAGTTTTGGACGGACCCAAGACTTGCCTATAAAAAGAGGCCAGGAGTTGAAACGCTCTCTGTGGGATCGGAGTTCATACGAAATATATGGGTACCCGATACATTCTTTGTTAATGAAAAACAATCTTATTTCCATATCGCTACTACGAGCAACGAATTTATCCGTATTCATCATTCTGGTTCTATTACACGAAGTATAAGGTGAGAAACACATTTTACATGTGCATTTTTTTATAAAAGCCGACCGCCTGTCTGGTCTAGTTTATTTAATAAAAACTTGTATATGAACTTGAAAATTGTATGTCTTGTATATGATAGCAAAGATAATAATATATTAACATGATTGTAAGGCGATATTTGGCTAAATAGAATATAGTCAATTTTTAAATTTTTCACAAAAATTCTAAATGCTTAATATAACGAATTGTTTCTAGACTGACTATCACCGCTTCCTGTCCGATGGATCTGCAATACTTTCCAATGGATCGTCAATTATGCAACATTGAGATCGAAAGTTGTAAGTAATTTAAATACAGCGTACGCTTACTATTTTGCTTATCATAGTTACAAATTTTGATACTGATTTTTCTCGTCTGTCAATTCCTGGCTTGAATAAAATAACATTATAAATAATAATGTGTTTCACAATTTAAATCAACATGCAATATTTATTAATCTTTGCGTGTGCAGTCCCCAAAGGCTTCATTGTTACGTAGAAAGGTTAAAAAAATTAAATGCTTAATATTATGTTTCTTCTTAACCAACGCGGCGTTATCATTTTTATACACTTCACTTTTGGTAGTTAATCGGTTCATTCACTACTACAAATGTTTATAAAAACCCAGTGCGATGGGTGCTTTTTTATCGTTACATATCTCTGCATGGTACAGTTGGCTACACCATGCGGGACATCCGATATAAGTGGAACGAGGGGCCCAACTCTGTGGGTGTGTCGAGCGAGGTGTCACTACCGCAGTTCAAGGTGCTTGGGCATCGACAGCGAGATATGGAGATCTCACTTACTACAGGTATCAAGCACCTATGCAAATATCGTTAACTTAAAATATATATTTAGCTTCAATCATTAATACTACATGCATTTGCGTGATATTTACTAGCATGCAACTCACTAGCTTATCAGCAAGCCATTAAATTACCTGCTTACTATACGAAATGATTAGACAATATAATTTCATGTGCTCGATTTCGAGAAATAAAAGACATTTTGTTTTTTTACAGGAAATTATTCCCGATTGGCGTGCGAGATTCAGTTTGTCCGATCAATGGGTTACTACTTGATTCAGATTTACATTCCTTCTGGTCTTATTGTCATTATATCTTGGGTTTCCTTTTGGCTGAATCGAAACGCAACACCAGCAAGAGTTTCCCTAGGAGTTACCACCGTGTTAACTATGACTACACTTATGTCCTCTACGAATGCTGCATTACCTAAGATTTCTTACGTCAAATCTATTGATGTTTACCTGGGTACCTGCTTCGTCATGGTCTTCGCGAGTTTATTAGGTAACGATAGAGGATTATGAGTTTTAATGCTAGGATATAAATTTTTAAATTTTTTTACTTGTGCTAAAATATAAGGTTAATAATTTTCAAATTCCGCCAGCAAGATCTAAGTACCTAGAATTCGTTAATACAACGACTAATATGATATTGTATGCAAATTTGTAGAGGGACAAATGAAGCGTTTTTATTTATATTATTGAAAATAATCATCAATAATGTGTATTAAGTACCTATATAACTAAGATGGTAAAGTGCTTTGCGGTTTTGGTAAAATATACACGTTTTAACAATATTTTTTTCTTTCAGAGTATGCTACTGTCGGTTATATGGCTAAGAGAATACAAATGAGAAAACAAAGGTTTACTGCTGTTCAAAAAATGGCTGCTGAGAAGAAAATGCAAATGGACGGACCACCTGGGACTTCGGAACCTTTACCACCACCGCGGACCAGCACGCTAACAAGACCGTTGCCCCCAAGTCGTTCTTCGGTAATTTCTATTATAATATATATTTTTGAGTCTATTTTATTTTTTTAAAGAACGTTTTTCTACCTAAACTGTAGTCATATAATCCTCATACACAGGAAGTCCGATTTAAGGTGCATGATCCGAAGGCATACTCTAAAGGCGGAACTTTGGAAAATACCATTAATGGTGCCCGTAGTGCGACAGCAGCTCCTGCCCCGCCGCCAGCTGATGAAGAAGCTGGTCCACCGCCACACCTTATTCATGCTTCCAAGGTTTGTATAAAAAACATGGCATTAAAATATTGGGCGAATATTTTGATTTAACCCAACATACTATTTAAATATTCGCAAGGCGAAATTATATTCATTGACCGCAACGCGATTTCCCCTTTTTATGCAATTGTTGTAGCGAAATATATGGTGTTTATTTGTCAAGCTTACGTAACATATTAATGGTAGAAGTCAAGGCAAATACATTTTTACAGGGAATCAACAAACTGCTGGGCACCACACCTTCGGACATCGACAAGTACTCACGCATCGTGTTTCCGGTTTGCTTCGTATGCTTTAATCTTATGTATTGGATCATTTATCTTCACGTTTCCGATGTAGTGGCTGATGATCTGGTTTTACTCGGCGAGGAAAATTAAACGATAGTTACGTCAGCGTGGAAATTCATGAATGTAAGACATTTTGTTAACCGTCGTTTTCATTTATTTAAGAAATACTTTTATGATTTCTGTTAAAGTAGTAACACTAAAATTGAAACCATTTGTGTAATGCAACAATAAAACATCGGTTAAAAAAAATTAATAGTAACTGAATTCTTGATATGTTGACAACTCATGACAGTTGGTAATATTAATATTAAGAGCTAGTACACATTGGGTGCCGTTGCGTTCGGCGCGCGTAACACCGCGCTCAGCATGGCGTTTAACGAGCGTTAACTGTGCGCGTAGCGAGACGGGTCCTAATAGCTGGTCGCTCTTGGATTTCATCGATATAAAATCCGTATCTAAATGCCCAATCTCCATTCTAGTCAACGTGCGTCCACTCTACAAGAAAGCGCGCGATCAAATGTACAAGAAAATGGTAGGCGCGCAACGAGTGTTTTGACCAAAATCTTATAGCGCACGTCTGACGCGCGCCGGAATAGAAATTACGCGTGTTGGTATGTGCACGGATGTAACGGACTAGATGGTTTTTAAAACGCGCGTTACCAAAGCGCGCGTTTAAAATCGCCTAATGTGTACTCGACCTAACATATATTACTCGTAATTGGATGCATTATAGATACTAAAGCGTAATATTGACATCAAAGCTTATATAAAGCTTATATTGTTAGTTACGTTATGATATTATTTGCTTCTTATATTTAATTTATTGATCTTTACTTAAAACCAAGACTTTATTAGTATAATATGATAATATAATACTAAAACACAAATATACTATAGTACACATAATATGAGCATATTTAGATATAGATAATTAGCGAATACTATTGTCAAAACATTATTAAGACAAAATTTTAGTATGTCTTCAATTTGCTAGTATTATGTATTGAAGTATAATTTAAAATTATATTTATATATGAAATACTTTAAATTCGATAGCATGGTTGTCACAACCAAATTGTTTCTAATAATAACTCAATAATTTATCTTAAGAATTTGAAGTTAAATATAATATGATAGGGGTAGGTAGTTCTTCGCATTTTATGAATCCAGATGTTAATTAAAATATTAGTGCCTCTTATCTCAGTACATATTAGCAACTGTATACTCAGTCAATAGTTATTCTCGGTCCAAGCATTCTAGCAAAATAAAAAAATGGATAACAATATGAAAATAACTTGATAGAGTACTAAAGACCATGGGTATGTAAGTAAATATTCTATTGTAAATATTTATACACAATGTAATTAGGATATATACAAACATGAACTACCCTAGCTTAAAAAATCTTATGTTTCATTTAAAATATACACGGGTAATAACTAATAACACGTCAATAATATTCTAGTGCACTAAACAATTTACGTGTATATACAAGTTAAAAAATTTCGTATATATGTGTATCTAATTGATATTATGAATGATTCATTTTAATAATTCAACAAACATACCTATATACTTTTTTGTAAACAATATATATATATATATATATATATTTATATATATATATATATATATATATATATATATATATATATATACTCTCTTAAGCTACATGAGAGTTGCGAAAAACAAGACGAAACGAAACGAAATAAAATAAGAAAATATTAAGATAATTTAAAATTATGTATGTACTTGAAATGAGCACAATGAAATTTACTTAAATGAGTTGATCACTAAAGTAAAATTTTAGAATGTGAAACATTAAATTTATACTTACCTCAGTCGACCTCATTTTGTTAATATTAATTAGTTTTTTATGTCGTTTTTCTATATTTTCTAAAATACCTTATTAATTGATAGAATTGATAAATATGTTTTCAATATTTCCGTTCCTTCAAATTATGTAATTTTTTATGCTTTTATAAACAAAAAATAATTAATCAATATGTAATCAATTTCGTAAAAGTAATTATTAATGCTGATATTAAATATTATAATAAATATACATATATATATATATAATTAACGAAATAGCGCTGTGACTTTTTTCTCTAGATTTATAAGCGGTAAGAAGTATTTTTATTTCCTCGTTTGCACGTTTATTTATATATTTATATATACAATTTTTATATATACAATTAATTTCAAATTTCAAATGTATATACACAATGCAGTAAAAGTAACTTTTATTTAATTAAATCGTTACGAAAATAATTTAAATTTTAATACATATTTATTCTTGACTATGTCAGTTATTTTATGTTAAAAGGGATAATGAGAAGTTATCTCTTAGATTGCGATATATTCTTTCTGAAATTTTAAATGCGTTAAATTGATTTGAGATCACGTTGAAGATGTTAGCCATAAAATAAATAATATTTCAATTTTTTCTGAATTTGCTCAATATATTTTAAAGAAAATAATAGACATTAATAATAAATTCAATTGAAATATTCACTTAGAATCTGTATTAAAAAGAAACCACAGAAATCTAAATAATAAGGTAATTATTATTTAGATTTCTGTGGTATATACATATACTATATGATACCTATCGTCTGACCCCTATATTATTAACAGACGTAAAACTTAAGAATATAAACAAAAATGGCTGTATAGTTATACCGTAGACCTTGTAGGCATTTAGTTTTGGTAAAGTTGGATTAGTTTTAAGTAAATATTTTGTAATTATCGTTACGGCGTATTTTTTCTTTTTGCAAACGATTCAATTAAAAGTCATAAAAAAGAAAAAGTACATGGTTGAAGTTGTTTATTTTTTTTAGAATATGTACTTATATAAGTTAATATCTTTAAATTAAATATTTAATAAGTTATTTTTAACACGTAAATGATACACAGTAAAATTATGAAGATAAGTCACTTTCCTCTTTCTTTCTTTAGGCTTAGCCTCTTAAAAACTAACAAAGCCCTAACAATCAAATTTCAACATTGCAAACGTAAACATAACGTAATTTCAATTCTGTTACGAAACGTGAGCAAATTTCAATTAATAATTTCAACCCAGACAATATTGACTCAATAAAACCTGTTGTTTCGTTGTCAAATAAAACACGTTTGCAATTGGCAAAAGCATTGTAATCACACATACACAGCGTGACTTTTTTGTGCGCGTGTTTTTTTAATATATATTTAAATTGATACTATAATTAATCGTGTTAAAGGAATCTAACTACAAGTCCGAACATTCTTATCTCCAAAATCTAAAAGACCGTGGTTTAGAGAATTTATAATGGTGATCAATTGTTATCAAAGCCAATGTTAAGTTTGTGTTTTGAATTAAGAGGAAATTTAATATTGTTATATTACTATAATATGTAGTGAAAAACCAATGTAATTGCATATTATTTTGTTGTTATTATTACTCAATTTGAAATAGTTTATTCACAAATAAACGTATATTATGAAAGTAAAATAATATTTTAAGATGCGAATTCGTATTATATTGCACCTAGTATTAAGGAAGTAGCGTAGTTTTAACTCCGCGTGGGAGCGGGTGAGAAGCGAAATAAATACAATGCCATTTGGAAAACAAATTAACAACTTCCTTGTCCGCGAAGTAGACAAAATAGTTAAACAATCGAAATGTTCATATATGACTCATGGGACAGTGAAATGGTTAAAATACTTCGTATGTAGGTAGGTACATCATGCCTGACGCTTCTCGCCCGTAAACCTCGCTGACGAAACCAAATTCTAAATCACTTGAAAATAAAGTCTAGTAATATTTAAACAAATTATATTGTGAAATAAATTGAATTAGACAAATTAAATTAATACTAAAAATAGGTATCAGCTGACAATTAAATAATAATAATAATAATAATATATTTAATATATTTCGGATAGTAATGCAGCTAATAAATAAAAAGCGGATCATAAAAGGGAAGTTTAGGAGGCTGAATGAATAGGATTATACAACGTGTATTAAACAAGTGACCGTCAGTGTTTAGATTTGATGAAGGGACTGAAAAACAACAATATAATAATGGAATGTGACGTGTAAATAAATTTGCCCTAATTAGTCAGAATTGATAAAAATATCTAAATTACCAACTCTCAAAGCGACATCGATCACATACACTTGATATTTTCTCACGAATCCCACAAGTTTATACTATAGAGATTATACTAATCAAAAGAAAGGAAGGAAGAATTATTATTATTTGCTGTTTATTGAAGTTTAAGACCTGCAAAAAGCACACTGCACCACAATGCCATTTGTGTATAAAATTTTGACAATTATATTTCACGTATATAAGTAATACATTTCGAGACTAGCCTGTAAATCTATTAGCATCTTTCGGATATATTACTTTGTAAACATTACGTTTTACTTAGAATACCTTTCAGCTTAATATGTTGTAAATTTGTCATTGAAGAATTTCTTTACCTGAATGGTGCCAAATACTGAAATGTAAGTTTTTATATAGTTTTAGTTGTTATTGTTCTGCTAAATTATTATTGTAATGAGTCGCGAATTAAACTTTAGATATTTAATTTTTATAAAAAGAACTAAAGTAGTAATACTACACGGTTTAAGTGTTTACTTTATTTCTAATAAGTATTTTTTTTAAGATTTAATTGAAATCCTTTTAAGGTACCAGCTTTAATTTAGTTTGTTGGTTTTTAATATTGTATTTTTAAATTCTTATTCATAAATTTACTATTTTATTCTTAAATTTTGCTCAATAAAACTTTAAAGTTAAGTTTACTGAAGTGGTTTACTTAATGTTTCGTTATTATTATTTCGCAACTATGAGTCGCTTTTTCTAATTTAAATTTTTATATGGTTTTAAGTATTGGACTTATTATTATAAATATCGATAGTGTATACGCGGCTGCGGCAGATCAATATATGGGAAACGGATATCTTTGAAATCGAAGGTAAATTGTTACGGAAGATACATACAAGTCCAAACATGCCGTTTGACTGCATCTTATGTGTGTGATAAAGACAGCAGTGTTTTAACCGAATTTCAAAAAATAGAATATTTTATTTTGAGCCTTCA